TAGGAAAATTTACCTGACCTCCAACCTGATTTTGCCCTTTTGTGACTTCCACTCTTTGCTTTGGAGTTCAGTCCTAGGGGACAAACCAGAACCAACCTATTCCCTTGGCAACTTTTGACCAAAAAGGTCAGATTTTCTAGTAATGTCCATATTTCCTTTTACCTAGTTATCTGCCAGTAGTTAAAAAGAGGGCAGGAGTTAGATGCTCTGAAAAAGAAGCTCAGGTGACAGCACTCCAAATAATTAAAGTTCATGCCCCAGTTTTCTCTTCTTCAGGCTAAAACACACCCCTTTCAACTCAACGTAAGAAACATTTATTGAGTACCTCCTATGTGCCAGGCACTCTTCTAGGTTCTGGAAGGCAAAGATAAAAATAAAACATTCCTTGTATCCGAGCAGTTTACATTATATGGCAGAAAAACAACTTATTCCTCATATTGCATGAACTCAAAGCCATTCATTATCCTAATTGACCTCTTCTGCATGCTATTCAGTTTATTGATATTCTTCCTAAATTATGGGTCCCAGGAATGAACATATCACTCCAGATAAGGCCTAATCAGGGCAGAGAGTATAGCAAAACCTCTCTAATTCTGGATGCTGTGCTTCTTTTAATGCTGACTGTGATGGTATTAGCTTTGTTAGCTGCCCTATTAAATTCAACAAATACATATTAATGTTTATTGTATGCCAGGCACCATGTTAGGCACTAAGAATACAAAGTCAAAAATGAAACAATTCCAGCCCTCAAGGAACTCATATTCCCCTGGGAGTGACACATAACACAATTCACTTATATTGAATTTACAATCCATAGAAATACTCAAATTTTTCTTCCAGGGCTTTCCAGTACTTATCACAGTACTTGGCACATAGTAAGTACTTAACAATGTTTATTTAATTGATGGATTTTTTCATAAGAATTATTCTCTATACATGCCTCCTCCATCTTATATTTTTGAACTTGAATTTCTGAACCCACTTTTATACTTCATCTTTTATCTTTTTTAATTTTGTGTTTATCCCTATTACTTTTTATCTTGATTCTGTCCATTGCTTTCGATTGCCAACATCTTTTTCAATTCTAAGTCTGTATATGGTATGTTAGCTATCCCTCTAGGCTTTGTTTCATCTTCAGATTTGGTAAGAAGTGTATCTCTGCTTTTATCTAAGTCATTGGCATCCATGTTGCCATTGGCAGCCAACACAGGGCCGGACACAGATATATCAAATGCATACCACTGAAGACCTTTTTCTAAGTTGATTGTAAACTAATTAATGAGTACTCTTTTGAGCTGGACATTCAATCAGTACCAAATCCAGGTTTTGGGTACTATTCTAGTGCGTACCATTCTGTTTTGTCCACAAGAATAGCACGATAAAATCAGTCAAAGTGCTTTTCTATAATATAGGTATATCGTACTTATAGCTCCTCCTCAGATCTACCAGTGAGGTAGTACTATCAGAAAGAAACAAAGAAAGGAAAGAAGGAAGGAAGGAAGGAAGGAAAGAAAGTTTGTTTTAACATCTTTTTGGTGAAACTAGGTTGACTCTATGATTGCAGCTTCTGTTTCTAGGTTTCATTGACTATCCCTTTAATAATTCAAAATTTGCCAAAAATTGAAGTCAAGCTCACTAGCCTAGATTCCCTTGATGATTCTCTTATTTTTCCTTTTTGGAAAATGGGGGCAATGTTTTCCCTTCTCCAGTCCAGCACTACCTCTCTTGTTCTCTGTGATTCTTTGAATATCTGTGGCCATGGCCCATTAATAAAATTTTTTTTTTTGCCAATTCTTTCAGTACTAGAGGATGTAGTTCTGCTTGCCAAGTCACTTGAAGCCATCAAGGGTAGAACTAGGTGTTTTCTATCACTTCATTTATCCTCAGAGTTAGATCCTTAATAACCATTTTTCTTCCATCTTTTCCAGTACAAAATTATTATTCTAGAGAGAGATCAGAGACGCAAGATAAGACTTGAACAGTTCTTCCTTCTTTCCATCAATTTTCACTGCTTGATCCAGTTGTGAACCAGTTTTCTCTTCTCCAGGCTGAACATCCTCAGTTCACTTCAATGTAACAAGTAATTACTGAGTGCCCACTTTTTGTCAGGCACTGCTCTAAGCTCTGGATACAGCTACTCTGCGCCCCAAGTGAGGACTGGGGAGCATCCCTTTGTGGATTCTCCTCTTTTCCCTAGCATGTCTTTTTAGGAAAAAAACCTTTTTGGAAAAAAAATCCTTTTCCCTAACATGACTTTTTAGGGAAAAAAATCTTTTTGGAAATAATCTAAAAAAAAATAAAAGCCATCTTGTTCTATATCACCTTTGGAAAATTGTGTAGTACTTTCAGTGATCTCTAGCTATTCCCTGCTGAAAAAGTTCATCTTTTCTATACTAATATTGTCTAAGTCACTCAATCACTTAATAAACCTTTATTAGGCACCTGCTATGTGCCAGGTATTCTGCTATGTTCTAGGGATACAAAAAGACACAAAAGGTGGATCCTCAAGGAGCTTACAATCTAATGGGGAAGACAACATGCATGCAAATATATAAAAAACAAGCTATATATAGACTAAATAGAAAATAATAGAGGGAACACAATGGGATTAATAAAGATCAGAGAAGTTTTCCTGCAGAAAGTGGGATTTTAGTTTGAATTTAAAGGAATCCAGGGAGGTCAGTAGTTGGAGCAGAGGAGGGAGATCATTCCAGGTATGGTAGAGAGATAGAATTCCTGGAGCCAAGAAATGGAGTGTCTTGTTCATGGGAAATTTAGGTGCGAATGAGGATTTAAATCAGAGGAATTTAAATTGCAGGTGACCCTGAAGACAATGGAAAGATACATGTTGAGTACAAATCAACTTCAGTTTATTACAAAGAATAATTTGATTTTAAAGTCATGTAAAACATCATCAGTAACATAAACCGCTGCAAAATCTGGGCCAGTAATATAGCAAGAATGAGATGATACATGGATGGCCAGTTGCTAGGAATCAAAGTGCTCAATGTGTTGTAAGAATCAGCAAGCAACAGGATGAATTTCTTGAAGAAAGTGGAAGAGAATTGCATGATGAGAAGACATTGAGAGGTCAGAAACAGAGCTAATGGAAAAAGTATCTATGCCAATGACATCAAGAATCAATCTAAATAGCCAAGTTATAGAGAAGACTCGGAAGGAACCCAATTAGAAGGACCAAAAGATTTGTGACACTTTGGAAGCTACTCATTGAAATATCAAAATTAAGTGTCTAAAGGTCAGTCTGTAGGATAGTATTGGCTGGTTACATTAAGGACCATACTCTTGACTGGAAAGCTATTTGTTCCAAAGGATAGTTATAGTACAGGATCAAAGACTAAGAGCTGGAGTGCCCTTTGGAGGGCTAGCCCCTCCAGCCCAGATAAAGGAAGTAGGACCCGGAGAGGTTAAGTGACTTGCCCATTCACACATGCCCAGTAAGTGTCTGAGGCAGGGTTTGAACTTAGGTCTTCCTGGCTCCAAATCTCACAGTCTTACCAAATTTGTGCTGCCTCATTGCGGTTCATCCTGCTGCCATCAATGACAAATCCCATGATTCAACATTCCGAAGTTTCACCTATGAGTGGAAAAAAAGAAGAGAGAAAAAATTAAATTGCTGAGCTTTTGAGGGACCTTAAAAACATGGGGCTCTGACTTCTAAGATAGAGATACTCTTTCTCAATCATCTTTATATTGCATTCTTTTTTTGTGGGTAATTAGCTTGATGGGACATGATGGGAAATGTCCCTAAAATGGATGCTATCGTACCATCCATTTTGTATCACTGCAAGCTATGTGATATCATAAAGAATTTTTTGGTTGTGGTCTGGACCTGTGATTTCCCTGTTGTAAGAAATTCCCAGTGAAGAAAATTCCTTTCCAAATGAGGATCAGGAACAATTCTACAACATATTAATTTAGAGATTTTCCTGGAGGCATTGAGATATTAAATTTCTTATTCAGCAAACTGAGAATGTGTCAGAGGTGAGGCCTGAACCTAGATATTCCTCAATCAAAGACCGTCTCTTCATTCACTATACCATACTTTTCGTTGTTATTGTTCAGTCATTTCAGTAGTCACGTCTGACTCTTCATGACCACCTTTGGATTTTTCTTGGCAAAGATACTGGAGTGGTTTGCCATTTTCTTCTTCAGCTCATTTTCTAGATGAGGAAACTGAGGCAAACAGGGTTAAGTGACTTGCCCAGGGTCACACAGCCAGTTAGTGTCTGAGGCCAGATTTGAACTCAGGTTTTCCTGACTCCAGGCCTGACACTCTATCTACTATAGCTGCCCACTCTACCATGCTGTAGATTTCAAAATAATAATAAAAATTTGAAAAACATTTGACTTAAGTTTTAATGAGATGTCTAAAAACTCCTTGTCTATCTGATTGGGGGGGCATGGGAAAAACACAGAGAAGAATCAGACATCTACTATATTAATGGATTTATGTGTGTGCACATAAGGCTAATATATTTTATGCTGCCAATTTTTTATGGTTTCATAAATACTGCTATCACCAACATTAAAAAAAACCTGAAGAAAAAGAGCTCATATGTTCTGGTATAAATTCAGTGTATTTTATAGAATACTGCTACTCTTGATATAGCCTACGGGATGTGACTTTTCATAAAAACCTAATGAATTTCTAGATTTGTCAGCTGTTTCTAAACAGATGCACTTTACTAATCTAATGGAAATGTTTTCAGCCCAGATCCCAAATATCAATAGCTTTTACTATTGCAAATTACTTTGTCTATTGGGTAAATTGAGCTATGGTTCTTGATAAAAAGTAGCAAGTCATTTTTGTATGTGTACTTTCTGGTTAACTTGCACTTTAAGATTTGATGTGTGTGTATGTATATAGACACACTCATGTATGTAGATATATGTACATATACTCATGTATAATATAATGTTAAATATCATGTATTTTATATACATGTATTTAACCTTTTTTTTCCTTTTTGCTTTTGCAGAGTTTTAAATTGAATGTAGATAGTCATTGTGCTCTAAAGGAAGCTGTGGTAGAAGAAGGACAGCAACTTCTGGAGCTTATTGTATCTCACAAATCAGGTAAATCCTCCTGAAATATTGCAAGTCTTTATGTCTCCAGACTATTAAAGAATGAAGAAGCATTGCTGTAAATTACTGCATATATTCACTTCCTTATGTATTATTAATATTTACATTATCAGATTGACCTTCAAGATTTATAAATGTTTCATATACTGCATACAATGCTGTGATACTTATAAAATGAAATACTGCCTACAAATAGTCTGTTCATTTTATTTTGATCTTGCTCTTCAGCTGAGTTTCAGTGGAAATCACATCACTGAAAACTTCACCGTTGACACAGTCTTTGATGTAGAAGCTTCGGAAATAACATTAAGAAAATGAATGAGGATTGCGCATATGGATATTGATGCATATGCATTAGTGTGCTTATAGATATATCTTTAGATATAAGGGAGAAGGTATAGAAACAGCTGGATGTTTCTATGCCTGGCCATACACATAATTTTTTTTTTTTAATGTTCTGATCTGTTAATTGCATCAGTAGGTTTTCTGGTCCTTAAACTAATTCCTTCCCCATTATTAATGCATTTATGAGGAACATATTATAAATTAAAAATAGTTTTGTCATTTGGTTATGCTTATCCTTGTATTCAAGAGCCTCAAGATGGGATGAATTACAATTTAGCTGGTATCTTTAGGGCTTACCATGACCGGTTTTAACGGGAATTTTTAATCAGATGTACCAATGCTAAAAGCTTGCTGTCTGAGTTCTGGCCTACTTACTCCAATTTTTATCAAAACTACTTTGCCTTTTCCCATTCATTTCTCTGGTTGTTGGAACTTTATCTGTACAATCTCTACACAGATGTACAGGGGACTTTATCTCTGAAAAACAGAAATCTTTCAATCATTTGTAACTTTTTATCTTGATTTTCTCCAATGTTTTTGGTTGTCGTTCAGTCATTTCAGTCATGCCTGACTCTCCATGACCCCTCTTGGGGTTCTCTTGGCAAAGAAACCAGAGTGGTTTGCCATTTCCTTCTCCACTGCATTTTACCTCATTGAGGTAAACAGGGCTAAGTGACTTTCCCAGGGTCATACCGCTCAGAAGTGTCTCACACCAGATTTGAACTCAGGAAGATGAGTCTTCCTGACTCCAGGCCGTGATAATCTATCCACCGCACCATCCAGCTACCCCTTGTCCAACATCTGTCCTTCAAGAAGTACAAACAGAATTTTAAACCATGCCTGGATGTGGTTGGGAAGCAGATGTGGGTGTCCTTTGACTTTGCCCTGCTGGGAATGTGACTGCAAGACTTTCTAGTCTATCTTGAGTGACAAATAATAATAATAATTATAATAATAATAATAGAGGGTGTGTGGGGGGTGCCAAGGTGCTTTTATGGAAATTGTTTTAAATATCCATTTATTGTCCTCCCCATCAAATAAGGAACAGTAACTACAGATGCAATCAAATCCACAACTTTTGCTTTTTTTTTTTCCTCCCTTCGTTTTCGAGAAGGACTCAAGGACATGCTGCAGATGATTGCAAGTCAATGGAAGGAACTACAGAGACAAATCAAACGACAACACAGCTGGATTCTTAGGGCTCTGGATATCATCAAAGCAGAGATCCTGGCTACTGATGTGTCTGCTGAGGATGAGGAAGGGACTGGAAGCCCCAAGGTAAGTGGCTTGAAGTGTGCCGTATTTCCTCTTATTCCTCTCTTCTTTTGAACGAGGCATCACTGAAGTTTTCTTTCCACCCCTAAGGCTTTTCATTTCTACTGGGTAAGCTTTTTTATATATAAACAAAATGATATGGCTTACTTGAAACAATAAAAAAAGCTTACAACTTTTAAGTTTCTCAGGAAGATGCCTTTCAGTGTATGGGGAGGGGGGTGAATTAGAGTTGGAAGGAAGGGGACATAAAGCATTTAGTAAACAAAACATAAAGCATCTTTAGCATGAATAATCAGAATGGTTTTAAATTGTTTTGTTGCAACTATAAATCACTATAATCAGTGCAATCACTCAGCTCTGACATCCATTAGCCGCTTGGTTACAGCAAATTAACAAAGAGGAGAGAAAGTGATTCATTATCTCATTCCTGTTAATGACTATCAGATGCATTGCCTAATTAGGGGATGGTCATTGTAGTGGGAAGAAGGTCATATGCTTTGCTAACAAATCTTTTTGCTCAGAGTGTAAGTTCTCCATAATGGTGGATGCACTGAATACAACAAGTCCTTTAAAAATACCTCTTGGCATGTTTTGGGTTTCCATTTTGCATTTACTAAAGAACCAAAGAAACATTCAATTGGAATTTCAGTGTTGTGGCTTCTCACCTAGAACTACTCCATTTGGAAGCAGAGGCCCTTAGCCAAATGGTGGAAAATATGATTTTATCCAACAGCATTTACTTCATGGTATCTTTCTCTTCTTCCACTGTTAGTCTGACATAAGCAAAAACAGAAAACCAGTCTGCTAACATACTCGGCACGTGAAGCTCATTGTTACTTGGGGGAATTCATGGTTTCTATTCCTGGAATTGGCAAAGCAATTAAATCATCATCAAATAACATTTATTCAGCACCCATGTGTGGATTGGCACTGTGCTAAATGTTACACAGAGTAAGTTAAACAGATATTCTTGGAACTCATTCTTAAATGCAGACAGACTTACTAACAAACAACTCTACAACAGGGAGACCACCATGGCAAGGGCAGAGGCTGAATCATATTAACATAATTCATAAGCTTAAGGATTTATAGGTTTCAGAAGTGGAATAACTAAGATGTTTGCTGGAATTAGGGGAGGAAGAGAATCATGATTTCTTTTTAACATGGAGAAGGTATCATGGAAAGGACTGAATTTTGGCAGATATTTGAAAGAGAAAAGAGAGTTCATGTGATGCCCAAATCTGGATATTCTAGGAACTGGTATAACATAAGGCATTGATTTGACTCCACTAAAGCTGAATAAAGAATAGAAGGAATAGACTTCTTAATATAGAATTAAACCAAGTTTAAGGGGCAGGATAAAGAGGAAGTCACCAGTGAGATGCTAGTCTGATGGTATAGCCATGAGATATGGGTGGAGATGAAAGGCACAGCATGAAAATACTCAGGAAAGGGTGGTAGAATTTGGTGACAGGTTACAGGTACAAAGGACTCAGGACTCAGAAAAGATTCCTAGATTTCTTGCTTGGAGAAAATATAAGATGGTGGTATCACCAAAAGCAATAAAGAAACTGACCGGATGGAAGAGCTTTTCGAGAGAAACAAGCAACTCTAGGCATCACCTCTAGGTTGCATTGATGGGACCTTTCATTCAGGTTGGCAGGGACACAGTCTGTTGTCCAAATGGAACATTGGACCAGTAAAATTATGTGACATCGCTGTGTTAGCTGAACCCTTAGAATCATCCTCATTTTAAGGTAAAATTGACAATGAAAGATGAAAAGAAATGATGATTATAATAGGAACTTAGCACCTGGTGGAAGGGTATAGAATCACTGAATCCCAGAGTTGGAAGTGAACTCAGAGGTCATCTCGTCTAACCACAACTCAACAAGAATCTTCTTAATTATCTCTCTTCCCAAATGGCCATCTAGTCTTTGCTTAAAGATCTCTATTGAGGGCGACTTTGCTATTTCCCAAGGTAGTACCTTCTGCTTTTGATAGCTCTGCTTGTTAGATTATTTTTCCTTATATCAAACCTAAATTTGTTTCTTTGTGATTTAAACTTATAACGCTAGCTTATTATATCTGTGTATAGGAAGCTGTCATCTAAATATCTTTGTACACCAGAAAGCATGATATAAAAATGAATTACTATTATTTTTCCAACATTTATTCCTCCTGCCTGCAGGAGTAGATCATTATAAACTATGCAAAAGATTTTAGAAGCTAAGTGATGACAGTGGTGACATTGTCTTTAGGGGCTTAGGGAAAAATGCATATTCTGACCTATTGACCTAAACCATTCATTTGATGTGATGGTGCACCCCTATTTCATATATCTTTTCTTCTTCCTGTTACACCATGGCATGTTTAATTTTTATGCTTTTCCTCATTTTTTTTTTAGAAAAACCAAATCTTATGATTTTTCCTAGATTGGAAACAATTATATTTTATAAAATTGGCTGACAAATAATATGCAATAACAATCATAGTTGTCATTGTTTTTCCTAGAGTTGGTAAGCAAAAGGATAATCAGAATCTCACTTAAGTCTTATGACATTTCTGTGAAGCATTAGATCTGAGGGGGGTGTGTGAGTATTCTCTCTCTTCAGAGATAAAGACAATGTGTAAGGCATCATATAAAGGCTCGTATTCACCATCCTCCACATAACTGCCAAAAAATCTCCTTAAGGTACAGGTGTGATGATGTTACTTCCCTGCTCACAGATTTGAAATAATTTTCTGTTGTCACTAGGACAAAATTCATGCTCTTAATCATATAATCTGAGCCATACTTCCAGAAATTTTCTATTATTGTTCTTCATATGTTCCTCATTGCAACCAGACTTGTCTAGTGACTGCTCGCTTAACTTGGCATTCCATCTCCCCTTGCTTAGGCATTTCATTCTCAGGACTGGAATACATTCTCTGCTTATTCTTTCTATTGTATCCTTTTCTTTATTCAGGGATCAGCTCATGTGTCACCTCTTCCATGAAGTTTTCCCTGATTTCTCTCATTGTAATTGCTCTTTCCCTCAAATGAGCTTTTACTTATTTATTTATCTGTATATAACTTGTATCTCCCTAACAGAATCTATGGACGGCTAGGTGGCTGTAGTGGGTAGAAGGCCAGGCATGGAGTTAGGAAGAGTCATCTTCCTGAGTTCAAATCTGGCCTCAGACACTTACTAGTTATGTGACCCTGGGCAAGTCACTTAACCCTGTTTGCCTCAGTGCCTTACTGTAAAATGAGGTAGAAAAGGCAATGGCAAACCGCGCCAGTATCTTTGCCAAGAAAACCCCAAATGGGGCCACAGAGAGTCAGACAGGACCGAAAGAACACAACAGCAACGACAAAACAGAATCCAAGCTGCATGGGGGCAGAGACTCTTTAGTTTGTGCCTTTTTGCCGATGGTCCATAAATAAATAAAAGATGTTTAATAAATGTTTGTTGGGTTAAATTGAATTGAAATGACTTCAGCTGGCAGAGGCAAAGCTAAAGTCCATGTCTTTCGATTCTCAACCAATGTTCTTTCCAGTAGATTTTGTTGTTCGTTTGTTTTTTTTTTTAAATTTATGTGTGACTCCTTGTGACCCCATTTATGGTTTTCTTGGCAAAGATACTGAAGTGGTTTGCCATTTCCTTCTCAAGCTCATTTTATAGATGAGGAGACTGAGATAAATAAGGTTAAGTGACATTCCCAGGGTCACACAGCTAGTGTCTGAGGCCAGATTTGAACTCGGGTCTTCCTGGCTCCAGGCACAGCACTCTATCCACTGCACCACCTAGCCTCCCTTCTAGGAGATTATTTGTATTAACTCTGAATTAATTGACTCATCTACAGTTGGAATGGTCTCATTTCACCTGTGCCTCTTCAAATCCCTTGTTTCCTTTTGAACTCTGTTCAGTCAACACTTTGTACATGAAGCCATTCCTAATCTTTCCAGCTGCTAGTGTTTTGCCCCACCCCTCATTTACCTGTGTTTATTTTATGCATATTTTCTTTATAATTATATAGCTACTTAGCTCTCCAATATAATGTAAGCTCTTTGCGAACAGGTCCTGTTTCTATTTTGTCTTTGTATCTTTGGCACCTGGCACAATATCGGGTACACAGTCAGCTTTTAATAAGCGTGTTAGTAAATTTAAACAAATAAACTAAAATTTACTTTTCATTTTTACTGGATTTTAGTAGGGAAACCAGAACGATTCAAGTGGGTTTTAATAGTCTGGGAATAAGTATCAACTGTGGCAGGGTGGAAAGAAAGCTGGTTTTTGGAGTCAGATGATCTGATTTAAAATCTCGGCTTAACCATTTACTACCCTGAGTGCCTGTGGATGGCTCCCATAACCTCTGTTTACTCAGTTGTAAAATGAGTGGGTTGATGATTGGTGGATCGATCTCCAAGGTCTCTTCCAGCTCCCACTCCTGTGAATGGTGATCTGAACAGAAACTTTCCTCTCAGCCTTAGCCAGAAGATTCATGATAATTGTTGATTTGCCAATCAAGGCTTATAATTGTAATATGCAGTGTTGTTGTATACAATTTTCATTGTTATATACAACAAAAATAAGCTTAAGATCAGAAGTTGTTTCTATCAGAAGATAGTTTCTCATCATACACATACTATATAGGTGGTCATTATTGTCTTTTTAGAAAGATGTCCACATTTCCTTAAGTGGAGCTTTTAAAAAGGGGTCACCCAGCATTTCCTTATTGCAAAACAACAACAGCAACAACAACAACTCTTCTGGCTATTACCAGCTTCAAGACTTCCTATATGATATGACCTTGTAATAGGTCATGTGGAAAGAGTGTCATGAAATACATCTCGAAATACAGTTATGATCATCCATTTCATCTTGGAGCTGAAAGAGTAACTGAAATTAAAACATAATAGGAAAGATAACTCTAGAATTCATCTTAAGTTTACTTCAGAAGCTATTGGGAACCTGAGAAGCATAATAGAAAATCTAAAGAATATATCTAGGGGGTAT